AAAAATAGTGCTGCAGTGTCATTCACACAGAGGCTTCTCCCTGCACCCATGCAAGTACTTTGCTAGACTAAACATCAGAAAGTGGAATTTCTGGGCCAATTGTGCACATTCTAAATTTCACATTTCATGATATTGTATGAGTAAATAAAGTTCCAATGGTTTTGTCCCATGACCGAGAGCAAATAACTTGTGAATCTGAGTGCCTTTACTTACTGCTTACCCTCTTTGTATCCCTAACCCTAATATCATGAGCCTGGCCCCTTGTGGGTACTCAGTAAATATTTGTTGAATGACTTTATGAAGGGAAGAAAGAAGTAAGACCTGGCCTTATTTGCAGCTCTCTGATCACTAGCCTTGGATTAAATGTGGTAGGTTGAGCCCCTCACTGACTCCAAGGCCCCACCAGGCAGTCTTCCTGAATCCCACCAGGAGTTCACTGGGCCGCGAGTTGACCAAGATGATGGCCAAGAGCTGAGGCTTTGAGGAGTCCATAGTGTTGGACACCCACGGTGGTGGAACCAGGGAGCCCAGTGAAGAGGGTCCTGCATGAATCAGAGGGGGATGACAGAGGGTTGGACGGGCAGGGAAAGTTTGGGGAAGCAATAGGATTCTGAATATTTTCAAACAGTAGAGTGAGGATGTCCTGATCGGATAACAGATGTGCATTTTACATAGACATGGTTTTACAGGTGATTTTCCATGTTGGAACTCAAAGGTAAAGACACTCAAGGACAGAAATCTTTTGCAGAGGTAAGATTTTCTTCAGTCACCATATTTTATTAGCTGTGGGGAAGTGGAGGTTTCCACGAAGAATTCCATAGCTTCTTCCAGATCATAGTGTCTGACCCACACCTGCTGGTGTCTCCTGATACGCAGCACGGATGGAAATGGCAAGTTCCCTGGCCTTTCTTCTGCTCAGCTTTCATGTCTGCCTCCTCTTGGTCCAGCTGCTCACTCCTTGCTCAGGTAGGAAACGATTTCACATTTATGTTTCTGAAGTAGACAGTTACCTATTAGTGTTCTCATAGGACTTTTGAGTCCTTCCCATACCTGAAGTCCATGCCAACCTGAGGGTTCATATGTCACTAAGAGACAAATGGTGCTTCTCTTAGGATCGTGTTCCCCTCTAGGGTCTCTGTATCTCACCTTCCCTGTCTGAGAAGCACCCGTCCTCTCATGACCCCAACCCCAGCACCCTCTGACGGAGCCTCCCCCTTCTGCCGACAGCTCAGTTTGCTGTGCTTGGACCCCCTGGGCCCATCCTGGCCATGGTGGGTGAAGACGCTGATCTGCCCTGTCACCTGGTCCCGACCATGAGTGCAGAGACCATGGAGCTGAGGTGGGTGAGTTCCAGCCTCAGGCAGGTGGTGAGTGTGTATGCAGATGGAAAGGAAGTGGAAGACAGGCAGAGCGCAGAGTATCGAGGGAGAACTTCGATTCTCCAGGATGGCATTGCTGCAGGGAAGGCTGCTCTCCGAATACACAACGTCACAGCCTCTGACAGTGGAAAGTACTTGTTATTTCCAAGACGGTGACTTCTGTGAAAAAGCCCTGGTGGAGCTGAAGGTTGCAGGTGAGCCTCTGGGTTTTCTTCTGAGAACATTTCTCCATAGGATCTAGAACAGATTCCGAGTTCCTCTTCCAGAAGCACTGCAGACACCCCTGGCTGCTCACTAGCAATTGCCTGTGCTGCCTTCCAACTTAGCCTCTCTGAGCCCCTTGAGTAGGACACAAGTTTTCCTTTAGGAAGAATTCCTGCTGTGCCCTACATGCTCAAGTAAAGAACTCCCTTCCTCTGGCCACCAGAGACATAAGGGACATGAAGGAGGAGGGATAGGAAGCATAAGAAATCGTTGTGTCAGTGACTGGTACACAGTCATTTTGGTCTAATTGAGTAACAGACAGCTCCTATTGTGTCACCAAGTGCACAGTACCACGGGCCTGGGAGGTGCCATAGGGACTGCATCTGCTGCCAGTGTTTTCCAGTCAGTCACCCACAAGAATATTCCTAGAGTAAAACAAACCATTTCTTTTTCCTTTTATTTGTTTATTTTTTCTTTTGAGATGGAGTCTTGCTCTGTCACCCAGGCTGGAGTACAATGGTGTGATCTCAGCTCGCTGCAGCCTCTGCCTCTGAGGTTCAAGCAATTCTCCTGCCTCAGCCTCCTGAGTAGCTGGGATTGCAGGCGTGTGCCACCACGCCTGGCTAGTTTTTGAATTTTTAGTAGAGATGGGATTTCACCATGTTGGTCAGGCTGGTCTCTAACTCCTGACCTTATGGTTCGCACACCTAGGTTTCCCAAAGTGCTGGGATTACAGGCGTGAGCCACTGTGCCTGGTCGATATATTTCTCACTCGTTGCATTGAGGAAGAACACACATCACAGGGAGCTGTGGTGGGGTCTCAGTAAGAAGGTGTTAGAGCAGACTTAGTATACAATTG